GGCAGCCACAGCTGCTCTGGGCACCCTGTGCCAGGGCTGCTCACCCTACAGGGAACAATTTCTAATTCCCAAAATCCATTCCCCTTTTCCTGTCCCTCCATGCCCTTGTGAAAAGCTGCACAGGCAGACAAAGCTCCCTGCTGGACCCTCAGCAGTCCAACCCTGAACATTTCCTCTCTCTGTGGCCAGGACTGGAGGGCACAGCTCAGAACCAGCCCTGCTGGCCCCAAGGCAATCCTGCAGCAGGGTGGTGGCTCTGAGACAGCTGAGATGATAGCAGGGATGTTCCTTCCACAGCTCAGAGCTGTGAGACAGCAGGAGGAGGACGGGATGCACTGTGCATCTGTGACAGCAGCCCTGCAGAAGTCCCTGTTGGAGGGAAGGAGCTGGCTCGCTCCGAACCAGCACGGACAGTCAGACAGCAGCAACAGACAAGTGACTTGGCAACACAGATGGGCCCTGAGTCATTTCTTGGATCTGTCTCCAAACACAGTGTGACAGTCAGAGCTACAGTCGGGCTTTGGAAGAGCTTGGCAAGGAGCAGACAGTGACAAATGTGCCAAATATCCTCTGACCTTCTAACTGTCCCGTTTCCCCATGGCTTTGTCCTGCCTGTGGCTGCAGATGCCATCAGCTGAGCCCACAGCACAGCCCTGCAGCCCCAGAGACCACTTCAGTTACTGGTCTGGAGAGGTTTTATTAAAAAAAATATCCAGGATACTTGAGGAAAGTCACTTGGAGCTGACTCACTGAATAATCTTTCAGAATCACATCCGCATTTGGCCTGGAGCAGAGGAAAGATTAGAAATTCCCCATCTCTGATTCTCATGAATACAGATTTCCATGCATTTCCATGCCCATGGCACTGCTCTGCCCTGCCACACTGCAGCTGGAAGGGCAGGAGGAGGGATCACAGGGAATGTTTGCCCATGGGAAGCACCCCAGCCTCGGGAGCCGGGCACGGGGGACACGGGGTGGGCACAGCCAGGAGGGAAGAGACGTCCTTTCAAAAAGAACCACAATCCTTTCATTCTCTGCGTGTTTTTCTGGAGAGCTGGGAGCGTTTGTCCCCTTTCATTCTCCCTGCTAACTTTTATCAGCAGAGAAAACCAGGCAGGAATGACACGGGAGCAGAGCAGCCTCCCTGTGCCAGCAAAGCCAGACTCAAAGTCACGGCGCCGACTTCCTGTGATGAAATATTGATCCAAAACTCTGTCACACAAGAAGCAGTTTAAAATCACCTTGTTTTTATGTACAAATCTCTTTTTTCAACTGCAGCCTAGCTCCACCAGATCACTTTTCTAAGTTACGTATGATTTTAAAAAAAGGCAAATATGCCTTGTGAGGAATTTCAAAATAAATTATGTTTTCAGCTTGAAGTTTTTAAAATTCATTGTCATTTTCAGCAGCAGTGGAATAAAAGGAATTTCTTTTTCTTACTCTGTAGACATTATCACTTATCAATCCTCTCTTCTTTATCCTTTGGCAAAAAGGAAAAGAACATAAAATAAATTGGAAGAAGAATTTTCTTGCAGCAAAGTTACCCAAAACCATGATCAATGTCCTCCAAGCAGGAAAATCTGAAGGAATCAAAGGCTTCATGAAACATTCATGGCAACAATATGCTGACAAATAGTTTCTCAGTCAAAACTTTTCCCTGGCTCTACTTAACATGGCCTGTGTGAGTTCAAGAACTCTTTTCTGGAGCACCAGAAGGCCAGAGGGGTTTAGCTCATCTAGCTGGGGTTTTTCCAAACAAACTCCACAGATCCCTTGAGGTCACTTGATGGAGCTAAATAAACCCTCTGCTTCTCTTGGATGTGCTGACTCAACTCCCATCCCAGCCTGGGTCCAGGGAGGTTCCTGAGCTGAAGGACAGCGGGCAGGAGCTGCTCAGCCTCCAGGTATCCATGAGAAATCCCTCCATGACCAGAAATCCCATTTGGAGCCAGCCCAGCACAGCCAGCCAAGGCTCCAGCCCTGTCCCCTTCTGCTGCACAGACCTTCCAAACATGGGGTTTGCTCCACATTTACTGGTTTGATGAATTGTGAATGATCGTGTGCTGATCGTTAGAAAAACCTGCTGTAACAAGGTAAAAATTGGGATGAGAGAAATCAGGTGGCATCCCAGGAGCCATCACTAATTATTTGGTACCTAATGAATGACACAATTGGCTTGTTGACCTTGTCAATCTATGCAGAGTTCTGACTAATTAATACAAAACTGAAACTACCAAGGGTGTGAGATATTTTTGGTCGAATTTGACCGAGAGTGGCACCTACACTGATCCTGGCACGTTGTTAGAGCTCAGTGACACAGGGCAAGAGGCACCAGAACACAAAATGCTGCTCAGATGAACTTGGCAACATTCTGGGAATAAAATTTCATGGCCTGAAGCTGTGCCACCTTGCTGGGATAACATCCAATGTCTCCTGTCAAGCTCCATAAACCAGGGTAATGAGTGAGGAGCACCTGGCTGGCCCAGGCAGGGCTCTCTTAGCCAGCACAGGGCTCTGCTGTCACCTGGGCAGGGCCACACCAAGTCCTGGCCAGGAAGGGACAACTGGCCTTTGCAGGAGTGACAAAACCCAAGAGACAGCTAGAACAGGAAAGCTAAAATCATTGCTGGTGCTGTTGTGGGAGGTTTTCAGTCATTGCTTTTCATGGGGTGAGGATCGCTCAGAGACTCAAGAGCCCTTTGGGGCTCTTCAGGAATAAATGAAAAGCTGTGAAAGCTTCCAGGGTGTTTCAAGTGAACAAAACTCGGGTGTAAAACAACACCCTTGAGCCTGGAATCAAGTGGAGACAAAGGGTTTCCAGAGTGGAAGGCACCTCCCACAGAGAATGTACTCACTTCTTTCCTTGAACTCTCTCTCTCTCAATTCCACCTTTCATTGATAGATGCAAAGTAAGACTAATGAACTATTGATAACCCTGGCACAAAGGATTATTAGACAAAGCAATTTCATTTGGGGGGCATTGATTTATATGTCACAACCAGAGTACAAATGAAGATGGCAGTTAGGAAGGATGAAGTTGAATGCTAAACAGGTGGGCATCGTGTTTATTCCTAACTCCTGCCTCAAATGCACACAGACACATCCACCTGTACCTCTGGAGATCCTATATATTTAAAGATATGATTGTAGATTTTCTAGTAATTAATGGTATTTGGAGAGAAACCTGAAGCAACCCAAATATTAAATCAGGGCTGATGTTTTGAAGGGCCTGAACCTTGCCAAGACATCAGACTGAAGAGTTGGGTTTGAACCAGGGATTCCCAAAGACGCCAAAGAGATGTCCGGGCACAGAGGGAGTCCACAGGTAAAAGCAGGTGAAAAGAAGGGGTTTGTCCTAAAACAGCTCAAGCAAAGCCTGGAATGTGCCTGAGACGGAGAGGCTGGAGCAGAAGGATGGGTTTTGCCATGGCACACCACTCCAGTGCCCTGTCTCCCATCAGCCACGGCCTCTCGGAGAGCTGGAGCCAGCCAGAGCCATGGAGCTGTTGATCAGCATCTGGGAGGAAATAACCCTGGTCCCGAGGCCCAGGCAGCCACTGCTGCCAAATTTAAATTCTCATTCTCTGTGGCGTTCATCTGACATTTAATGTGATGCCAACTGCTGCGTTGTTGTGCAATCAGGAGTGAAAGTTGTCCTCTTGTGGTGAAACCAAAAGGAAATTTCAAAGTTTAAGGCAGAGACACCTCATTTTGTGGGCTGCAAAAAGGCAGCCAGGCCCCATTTCTGTCTTTAAAAGCTCTCTCCAGCTCTTCACGTCTTAAAAGGCACTGCCATGGTCTCTCCCCAGCACAAGGAATCCCACCAGATCCCAAACTCAGATACAACCATAGAAGGGCAGTGCCCAGGTGATCTGACAGTACTAAGGCAAAACCAATACCCCAGGATTTCCAGAAGGCTGCTCTGCTTGTGGTTTCAGTCTGGAAAATGGTAAAATAAAACTGAACTTTAATGAACTTCCAGAGGAAAAAGGTTTCTTTGTTTTAATACAAGCCACAACAATAGGACATTGCCCTACCTTAGGCTCTGACACTCAAAACCCATCTCCAATACTCCAGGGATTAAATTATTTTCAGAAATCCAACTCATCCCCACCATTATTACTGCTATAAAGCTGTGAGGTTTTTTGCTGCCCCCCCTGTTCTATTTTTTTTTCCAAGGCTAGAAATAGATTGAACTGGCACTTCAGGATGCTGAGCTGCAGTTTCAGTTGAGCTCTGTGCTTCACAGAGATTTATCAAAAATGACAAGATTCAACATCTAGGAGATGTCTTGTAGTGCCCAGGAGCTCAAAGAAGATGCAGCAGTTACAACAGTAACCAGAGAGAAATGAGAAAAGTGGTAGAAAAAGAAACACATGGTGCTTGAAAATCAAAGCTCTGGCAGGAATGGGCACTTGTGCTGGTCAGCACTGGCCATTAGTGGGCAAAGAACCACTGCCTGCCTCCTCCAAATGAAAAACCAGGGAAATCAGCCCTTCATTTCAGCTACAAACTGCCTGGCAGGTACCTGTCAGAGGCCACAAGCTGCAGAGGTTTCCCCTGTTCTCTTTGCAAGCAGTGTGGAGTTGTGTGGAAGTGACGAGTGCCTGTCTGTGATCACTTCTGAGCTGAGCCATCCCTGGAATAAAACATAACACCCCACAAGTGCCTTCTCTTTTTCACCCATGTGCACATAAAGCAAGTTATACGTGAAAAAGGCTAAGGAAAAATGGGAATATCTGGCAAGTAAATGTGTGTGAGGTGTAAAATCACCTCCTGGGCATGCTCAGCCTCTGCCTGGATAACTCAACAAACCCAAGCAAACAGTTGTGGCTGAGAACACCCTGCAGCCAGCCTCCACCACTCCCACTGCCATGGAATCCAGGCAGAGGGAGGCACTGAGGGAGACTGGATCCCACCAGCAGAAGCAGCAGTATCCTTTCAGTGTCCAGAGCAGGACCAGAGATAAAATAGAGGGATAAAATAGAGGGATAAAATACCTGGGGCTGTTTCCAAATTGTGCAGTGAGTCAGGCAGGTCTCTGCAGAGAGGGATTGGAGCTGGAGACAAGGGCAGTGAGGGGAACCTCAGCAAGAAATGAGCACACCCAGGTTTCTTCTCACAAATAGTGGTTCTAACAAACACCTGCAAGAGGTAACACTGCCAGACAAAAAAGGTTGCATATCAAAAAGGGATCTGAAAAAGAAAAGAGTCAGGGAGGAGGTTGTAGGTCTCCTAATTCCTTTACAGAGGTCAAAGGCAAATTCCTCCACGAAGAACCAACACACCAACCATGGTCCCCTCCCCTCCCTGAGCCAGGACCTTCTCCTGCAGATGTGGAAACAGCCTGAAGGAGTGAGGCTAATCCAGGCAGGAGCAAAATGGAAATAACTCCCACAAGACCGCTGGGAAAACTTAATCCAATCTTCTCTTGTGAAGCAGATATTATTCCCCTTTTACTTGCCTTCAGTGGTGATAAAGTGCAGACAAAGGAGATAAGGGACTCGCACACCTCACATTTCAGCACTCACAGTAAATACACTCCTCGCTTTCGCTTATCTTTCAGCCTGGTATGGATTTCCTTTTAGTAACCTCCTGAATTACAATCAAATTATACTTTCAGGGCCATTGAATTGCATGGCTTGCAATACCTTAATGGGTTCTGTTCTGGCTGCTCAGGAAGGACTTGTAATCCCTGTCTTCTTCTATATTTCAGGGAGCCTTAAGGACGTGTTTCAGTGCCAGGCAGAACAGCCCAGGCCTTCACTCACCAGGGCAAGTGCCACACAAACAGTGCATGGGCAAGTGAGCCATGGCCTGGAGGAAAAATATTAGTAGTGAATGCTTCTTCTTTTACCTTGCAGTGCCAGCCAGGGTTTGGGTGGCACAGCAATCCCAAAACTCTCTCAGACAGGAGTTCTGTGTGATTTAATGGCTCGGTCGATACACCAGGTGCCGGCTTGTCTGCAAAATATTTGAAAATAAATGGAAGTTTTAATGCCCAGGAAATGGTGCAGAGTGCCACATTCCTCCTGACAGCTGATCTCTTAGATGGGCTTTTATCCTGCAATAAAGAAGTGGTTGCTTTGTTACTTATGGGCTCTGCAGCAAACAAAACTCAGAGTGTGGTCAGGAGCTTTGCTGGGCTGAAATCAATTTTTGAATTATACAAACATTTAGGTAATTGAAATAGAGAGGGAGAATAAACACAGGCTGAAAGTCTAAAGAGCCCTCTTGTTCTGGAGAGCATCTGGAAGGATCTCAGGGATGCAAAATGCCCCTCTTACACCTGCCAGAGCAGGTTCCAGAGCTGCTGCACCACAGCACCCCCAGGGAATCCCTCTGAGCACCCAGTCCATAAATGCCCAGAGGAGAAGTGGGGACACTCCAGGGGAAGAACATCTGTGCCTGCAGGGAGGAAAGAACACAAAGACCATGGAAAACAGCAAAGCCTGAGATGTGGGGCTCCCTGCAGTGCCTCACCACAGGGAACAGTGCCAGGCACAGGGGACAGTGGGGACCTTCCACGTGCCACCACCCTGCCCTTGTGGAGCCACCAGCCCGTGACACTCGATGCTTTCCAGCTAAATCAGCAGGTTCACTGAGAAAAACTGCACACTGGAGATAATCAGAGTAGGAACTGCCCCTGTCTGCAGCTAATGGGGGAGAGATAAAAAATCTCCCTCCTCCCTTTATTCATCCTGCTGTTTGTAACACATTATCATGTTTTTTCCAATTGTATTCTCAATAAGCCACCAGGTAAGAAATAGTGTTTGCCAGCCCTGAAGAGAAGTAATCTTTGTTGGCAACATTTCTCAGGGAAAAAAACTGTTCAAATAAGATGTGGGAGGAAATTTCCCCCTCAGACAATTTGAGGAGCTGTCGACAGGCAGCAGATGAAAGGCGAGGAGCGCTGCATGCCGCGGGCCGTGCAGGCAACACGGGCGATGGCTTCAGCAGCTCTGGGTTCAAACGGAAAATTAATTTCTTTCTGAGGGGATCCAAAGTGCTTTTCGTGCTGTCCTTCCTTTAAACACTTGGTGATTTCATTTTGCTGAGAGCGATGAGAAGCGAGCCACTGAAGGAGGAGCTCTCCCAATGCAGCGCGGGGGTCTCCGTGACCCTCCCAAAATCTGTCTTTGACCACAATATTCACCAGTTCTGCCCTCCACTTGGAGCAGGAATCAGCCTCCACGAATCAGGACTTTATTAAGGCAGACAGCAGGATTTCTGCTGGCCAGTTCAGGGTGGAACGAGATGATGTCAAAGGTCCCTTCCAACCCAACCAATCTGATAATTCTGTGATCAATTTTGCACTGGTTTTCCCCAGCATTAACGTTTCTGATGACAAAACAAACTGTGACAGATGTGTTCTACCTTAAAACAGGCATGCTGCCTTAACAAGAGGAGAAAAATGGATGAATATGAAAATAGGCATTATGAATATTCAGAGACATTTGCAAATTAAGAGACTTCAACTGTGTCCTTGTCCTTTGTGCGTTTTCCACAAATATTGAAAGGGGAGCTCTCCTGGGAGAAGTGTTCATCAGCACAGCAAGTTTTAAAGAAGGAACCCACTCAATCTACGGCAAATATGCACAACATGAACATTGTGTGTATTCACAGGAGAAAGATGATTCTGGGAACCTCCAATTAGGCAGCAGCAGCTTTTCTTATGGTCTCAGGAAAGAACTAAAGAAAAAGGCTTATTTTGATAAATTTTTCAGCACAGACTTTTGAAATGGGAAATACAAACATGAGAAAAAGACAAACTTTGCCCATGAATTATTCCTTCAGAATTGTGAGGGGGGAACTGCCCCCTTGAGCCAGGCTGGGAGCAGCAGCTACCCTAAGTCAAGTGTGTTGTTAACAGTGTGCAGGCAGCAGCTGAACCTGTGTGTGCTGACCTGCCTGAAAGCCCTGCCTTGGGGCCCCCAGCTCAGGAATCTGCCTAATTAATTTTTAATACCCCAACCTTCATCTCTGCCTGCAGCCTGACCTGCTGTTGGGGTGTGCTCAGCCATCACCACCTCCTCCAGCCACCCCAGTGCCACCTCTCCCTGGGGGAGCTGCATCCTCGTCCTAAAACCCCACAGCCACCCCCTTTTCCCTTCCATAAACACTGCAGAGGTGCTGTTGCTGTGCCAGTGTAAGACACCCCAAATCCCAGCAGAGCCCAAAGCAGCAGCAATATCCCATATTTACCCTTTCAGTTTAATCATCACAATGAAGGGACGTGAAAACCTCTCCCTGCAATTCCACCTGGAGGCTTTCTCCCACACTGAAACATTGCAGATTGTCCATTTTTGTTAGATTTCCCTCAGAGATGCCCAATAACCTTCAAACAAACCCAATTCATAACACCACCAGATGTGCTCATTTCGCTTTCCATGGCAATATGCTGTGAGAGGCCTCTGGGTGGGAGGTAACAACCCAAACAAGAACAATTTCTGTTTTGCTGGTTTGAAAGTGCAGCTTTCAATATCCTGGCCTGTCTCTGAGTTTTTATTTAACTTGGGGAATTTTTCAGTTTACAAAATGGCCCGACAAGGATAATTAGGGTAGAAACATGCCTGACAATTCCAAATGCTCCCTGTCAAGCATATGGGCTAACACCTATTTTTTATTAATTCCCTGGTTTTCAAAGGGTGATACAGTTGTATTAGAAGCAGTGTGTAGGTGGCTCATTTTTCCCTCCTCACATTCCCTTTGACAGTAGTTTGAAATAACATTCATCAAACAGTATAAAAGAAGTCGAAAGAAATTAATTAAGCAACCTAGAAGGAAAAATAAGATGTCTTTCCAACAGGACTTGCATTATTCAGGTTTATAGTGCTGCACAGTGCAAATTTCTGGGAAGAAAAGGCAGGATAATGGTGTAGTCCTGCTCCACTATGAAACAGCACACTTGGACCATCACTGGTGATAACGAAGTTTGAAACTGAGGGTTTCCTATTGAAGATTTGCTCTGAATAGCTTGCAATATATACATTTATAAATATATATTTGCTCATATCTCATTGCTGGCACCTCCTCCAGAAGGAATTGGAGATTTTTGATCCTCTTCCTGCCTTTTGGCATTCAGGGCTGGGGGCAGAGATGGTAATGCTGTGTTTAATTTAATCTTGTGAAGTGAACAAAATCCTGCTTTTTAAAAGTCCCCGTTGTTCAAGGGTGTTTAAACAAACATTGTCCAGGTTTCAGCAGCCACATGTGGCACTGCAGGGCTGCATTCCATCTCTCCAGCTGTAATGAGGATTATCCATGCCACACTTGGTGGCACACACTCCATCCCACTCCCTGTGCCTGCCCAGGCTCCTCAGCCTCCTTCTGCTGCCCCAGCTCTCCCAGCCTCACCAACACTGCTCTCCCTGTCCCAAATTCTGATTGAATCCAACCAGCAACACCTCAGGGAATCCATCTGTGGCCTCCCCACAGATGAGAGGTTATCCAGCCATCTCCTCCACTGAGCTGCTGCCAGCTCTGCCTTGGTCACAGGGCTTAGGGACACGAAATTCCAGCTGTCCTGCTCTGCTCCCGAGGGATGGCCTCAGCACTGCCCTGCCTGCATCCAGCCAAAACAGCCAGAGTGCACCTGACATCCCATCAGTCCCCCAGCTCTAAAGCAATCCTGATTTCACAGGGGATCACTCACCAAAACAATTCCCAGGTATCTGAACCAAGTACCCCTCGAAATCCAAAAACTGGTAATGAAAATGTGGATGTAAAGAGCTCGGGATCTCTTTGTGACTGCTGGCAGCCTCCCAGCTGCTTTATTAAACACAGTCCTCAGGAGATTCCTAACTTCATGTTCATATTATCAGCTGCTCAGGGTAATGGCACAGGAAAGGCCATGGATGTGACAGCACCAGGTTCTGGCACCCCCAATGAATCTGCTGGCTGTGAGGGAGCCACAAGGGAGGGATTAACTGTGATTTATCCAAGAAACTTCCCAACACATCCTAAATCTTTCTCATCAGGTTTTACTGAGCAATGACTTCTCTTTGTCCTTCCACCTGCCTGGCTTGAGCCCAGCAGGCAGGACAGACTCAGGGCTGTCAGCAGCAGGGCTCCAGCCCAGCTAAACCCAGCTTCCACTCCAGGACAGGGCTGAGCCCTGGGCTCTCCTTTAGTGCCCAAATTCCCTCGGGCAAGTCTCCTAAGGCTGGATGAGCAGTGGAGCACCATCCCCTGTGCCCACGCCAGGGCTGGTCCTCCCCGTGCTCTGCTTCCCTCTGGACAGCTCCATGGGAAGGCTCCTTCCAAGGATTTAAACTGTAATTGCTTGTAAACCACTTAGGCAGTAAGTGATACAGAAATCCAAGTGGTAATTGTAGCAGAGGCTTGAGATTAATCTATTTTTGGCTTGTCAGACGTTCTTATGGACCTGATTCAAGGCAGTCACTGAAGGCTGTAAAGTGTCCAAAAAGTGACAGGAAAAAATAGTTTGATTAAAACCATTCCAGAGGCAAATCCAATCTTCAAGACACTCTCTGAAACCTATTGGTGTAGCCTGCAGATGAGGCACTTGTGAATATTATCTGGGCAGAGACTTGGGAAGAGCCACAAAAAGTTTTATGTCAAAAAAAGGTGCTCTAATTTTGGATTTCCAAAGCAGAACTGTGCAGGGAAAGTCAGAGAAAGTCTGCCAAGAGGGTATAAGCAGCTTGTCCTGACCAGGAATCAGGGCTCTGGTGACTGAAGAACATCCCACAGGTTGTGTTTTGCTCACCTGCCCTCAGGTGACACCATGAGATGGAAGGACACCTGGACTTGATGGCCTTAGAGGTCTTTTACAACTGTACGGTCCCAGGATTCTCTGCCTGCCTGACGCACTGTTTGGTGTGACTGAAGAACCCCAAACCCTTGGTTTACCTCTTTATCTCCCAGAGATGGGAGCACCAGTTCATTATTAGGAACTGGAAACATCATCTTTCCCCACAGAGCTGCAACCTCTCCAAACATTCCACCAACTTCCATTTTCTATCGCCTCAAGGTCAAGATTACCCTTTATTATTTTCCCCATCATTTCTGTCCCATTTACTTTGGATTAGTGAATGTTCTGTCAATAAGGACTAATGAAATTCCAGTCCAATATAAACTGTCTGCTCTACGAATGGTTCTTTTTTCATAGACTTTCTCTGAAATAAAAAGTGACTGATGCCACAATATGCTTTAATTATTTTCTTCATAAACTATCAAATTAAATTTTAAGAAGCTGGAGATATCTCTTATTAAATTGGGACTGAACTCAGAGATGTAACTCTTAATGAAACTTCCCACACCAGAAAGCTTTTTTGTAATGTTAATAATTCTCAGCAGCCTGCCATATGCAGTATCTCACCAGAGGTTATGATTTTCACATTTACCCCCTGCCATGGGCTGGGACACTTTCCCCTATCCCAGGTTGCTCCAAGCTCTATCCAGCCTGGCCTTGACAATTCCAGCCCTCTCTAAACCACACCATTATACAGAGCCTTCCATATTATAGCTGGGATTTTCTACTCACTGTATCAAGAAGTTTGTCCAAAAAGCAGCACTGAATATCCCCATGAATATCCCACAGCAGCACACCTGGAAAACACAGGCATTCATCCAAGGGAAAAGGATTTTCACTAATTTAAGCAGCAAGAAAATCTCAAATTATCAAAGGAAAAAAAAAAAACCCAAACCAGAAAAGCTGGTGTGTGAATCATGGAATGATGGAATCATTAAGGCTGGAAAAGCCCCCGAGGTCATTGAGTCCAACCATTGTCCAGCAGTGCCACACCCACATTAAATCATGCCCCAAAGAACCACATCTACAGGTTTTATGAACACCTCCAGGGATGGATATTCCACCACCTCCCCAAGCAGCCTGTTCCATTGGCTGGCCTCCCTTTCAGGGTGGAATTTTCCCTGATATCCAATCCAAACCTCCCCTGGTGCAGCCTGAGGCCATTTCCTCCTGTCCTACCTCTTGTTACCTGGGAGCAGAGACCAATCCCTGCCTGCCTACAATGTCCAGTTTGCTTTCGAAATCACAGGGATCAAAATGTGGCACATTCTGGGGCCAACCAGCAAAACACAAAACCTGCAGAAATCACTGGATCATATTTTTGGATCCTGCCTTAAGGGATGAAGAACAGAGTGAGAGATGAAAATGCGGCAGCTGGTAAATAATCATTAAAAAGAATAAGGCAGAGATGAGGAAATACTGAAACTGCCGGGAGAAAGAAAGAAAGAAAAGGAACAAAGACATGGAAAAAAGACACTCAATCTGCCAAAGTTTACACAATTTCATAAAATGTACAAGTGAAACAGAGAGAAAGGGGAAAGGGCAAACCAAGCAGCTCGTGGCTGGGCTGGGGGCGCAGCACACGGGAGATTTCCATCTCATTCCCAGCTCTGGGGGTTGGTGTGTCCTGCCCTCCATCCCAGGGCCCCTGTGCAGGTCATTCCAGCTCCCAGTTGGCCAATTCCTCTGGTCACACAGTGACAGTCCCAAGGGTGTCATATCCATGTCCCCCTTTTGGCCAAGAACACCTGAATCCCACCACAAACAAACCATCACTCCTCCCCTCACAGACAGAAATGGGCATTTGTGGACAGAAAAACTGATTTTTCCAAAGGGAAATTTCTCTGTTGTTGATGGTACAACACTGCTGTGCATTTTTTTTTTCTGTTTAATTTTATTCATGAGCTGAAGTGACTTTGGGCAGTCACAAACCGATTTTTCACTGTGTTCTGAACAGATGGTTGTTCCAAGAATACCAGCATCCTGGCAGTGTCAAACAGCCTTGACCTTCCCAAGCAGCACTGCAGACTTTTTGTTAGAAGGAAAGAAATAAAGAACCGCTCACATAGTCCCAGTTTTTTTCTGGATTATTAAACACAGTGGACAATGCAGGCACAAACTGTGCTCAGGAAAAACCTAAGATTCAGCCTTAGAGAAGCAGGAATGGCTTCTGGAATCACTGGTGGTGCACAGACAACCCCAAGGTCGCATCAGACCCCCCTGCAGCAGCAGAAGAGTGAAGAGATGTGAGCCCCCACATCATCTCCAGCTCATCCAGCCCTCAGGAGCTGCTGTGATGGGCCCAAAAAAACCACAAAATATCCCAATCCTCAAGCTCAAGCTTTATCCAGCAAGGGTCCAGTTACAATTCCCAGTTATAAATAGCTGGAGTTCATCGTGAGCCTTCAGCAACCGTGGGCTGGCACAGCTTTGGGGACCTTTGCAGACAGAGCCTTCAGAGGAAAGGCAGCTCATTTTGTTCTGCTTTTGAATTTTTTTTAGAGATATAATCCTATTTTTAAGATAATTTAAATATCATCTGTGCTTAGTTCTCTAGAAGCCACATTAAAAAAAAAATCCAAGTCAATTTTACTGCAGTTAAATCCCCATGTCCTTAATCTCCAGGAAGAGAAGGCTGGGTTCCTTCCTGGAGACAATCCTGCTTTTTTAGCACACGTGCATTATTTTGTACCTGATTGGTGTCTATCAAGACATAAAAATTTGGGGGCAGCACCTAGGAAGCAGCTCCTGTCTCCAGATCAATACCTCATTATGGATTAAACATAAAAGTTAAGCCATCCTTAGTTCCCAGCTGACAAAGAGTGGCACAAATTCCACGCTGCCATTTGGGGGATTTTGTGCAAATTACTCCAGTGACCTCCTGCTAAGAGCAGGTGAGGAGCTCTCAGCCTTCCAGCCAGCACTGCCTCGGAGCTCTGAAGTGTCCCAGAGGGATTTGGGAAGCAGCCCAGGGCTGGGCAGAGGAAGGGAGCCCGATAATCCCAGCTGGCATGCCCTGGATGGCAGGAGAGTGTTCCAAGGGGACAGTGACTGCTGCTCTGAAGAGTGAGGAGTGCCTGGGTGAAACCAGCTGGCAGCTGAAGCGCTGCTCTGGAGCAGCAGGCAATTACAGATGGATCAAGTGTGAGCACTTCTGAGCGAAATCCCTTCCATTCTGAGGCGACTGAAGTGAGGGAAGATCTCGGGAAAAGGCAAATCCAGCTCTTTAGAGCAGAGCAGCTCCTTGATGCCGGCTGCCCTGGGTACTCTCTGCCTTTTAATGCTGTTGAGAACCACTCATTACTCCTCTGACTCAGAGGTTTAACTAATTCCCAGCAAAGCTTTGTACCCAGGGAGAAGAAAGCTCCGCTCAGAGGGCCAGCACTGAGCCTCCAGCACAACGTGGGCAGGGGAACCAGTTGGCTCCTCTTATACATAAGGAACAAAATGGAAAAACCAAAGGCTGAGAGGGACCACAGGAAAAAACCCCAGAATTTAGATTCAGAAATGCTTAGTGTCGCAATAGGACATGAAATAAAACAATGTGGACACTGAAACTCCAAGGTAAGAAGAAGAAGAAGGAGAAGGAGAAGTTTATTTCCTGACTCTAATACTTATAGACTTACAAAAGTGACAGTAGATTGGAGGATGAAAGTGCAGTTCATCAAATTTCTCCTCTTCTACAGAAGAATATAAAACAATAATTATTTACGTAAAAGCGCGTGGGAGACTCCATTTACAAAAATGTAAACATCAGAAGGCTGAGAAGAACTTAGAAGAACAAGGTGACAGCTTAGGACACCAAACAGTGGAAGATTCCTGCTCTAAAAACAAGGGGCGTGGGCAGGGAGCACATTTGCCCCTAACCACGACAGAAATATGGGATTTCCTGGTTCATGCCACTGATGGCAAGGGACAGGACCTCCAGCTGTGCCAGGGAAGGTTCAGGTTGGATACTGGGAGAGAATATTCACTGCAAGAGTGGTTAAACGTTGAGACGGGCTCCCCAGAGAAGTGGTGGAGTCACCATCCCTGGAAGTGTTCAAAAAACCAAGCAGAGGTGGCACGTGGTGCCATGGCTCAGGTGACATGGTGGCCAAAGGTTGGAACTGATGATCTTGGAGCTCTTTCCCAGCCCTATTGATTCAATGATTTCATGTGTCCAGCTTGGAGAGAGAGATCCAAGACAGTAAAAATGCACATGCAGCACCAACATTCCATGTTCTGCCTAAAACCCAGCGATTTTCCTGCACTGGTGTCCTCAGTTTCCCATCATTTCCCACTGCTTATTTCACCTCTTAATTGTTTAATGATTTGTGGAAAATAGGAGGAATAATGAAACCTCTCTTCCCTCTCAGCATGTGAGGAAATGAAACTATCCGAGCAACGATCCAAACTCCACTAAGTGGAAATTTGGCCCTGCAAAAATTCATCCTGGGTTTTTTCTGCCTTCTCCATTTTCCTTCAGCTGTCAGAGCAGCAGGATGAAATAACATCCTATATTCCTAGTGCCATCTGCATTCCAAAATCTCCTACTGATCAATGCAAGTGTCCAAAGAACTCTTCCAATTTGTCAGAAAAACCTTCAAAACTTGACAGAAAATCATGCAAGTTATTTCTTTCAGATCTCTCTGTAGCTTGTGATTATTTATACTTTGCCAATACAATTCTAAGCATTTTCCTTTGCATTTCCCATATTTCTCAGAAGAACTCAGAGGTTAAAGCCTGCAATGGGTTTATTTTCCTCTCTGTGCTCTTGTTTTGTATTTCTGGACATTCAAGGAACACTGGAATGACTGCACTTGGAGCAGGACCAAAAATGTGCTTGAAAAAGCTTCAAACTGACACATCTCAGAGTATCAACAATCAGGCTGCTTTGCTCAATTCCACTTGCTCTGTTTTTCTCTTTTATAACAAATTTTAGATTTTACTGGCAACAATTGCACTAAAAAAGTGGGGTTTAAGCATCAAGCACGAGAATCCTGTCTGAAAACTTTCATTTTAGCCTTTAAAAAAGTGAAAAAAAAAAACCAAAAACGTGAAATGCCAGAGCTCTGAAGTCCCTGAGTGAGGTGCTCAGTGAGTTTAGGAGTCAGGGCAGGCTCTGCCCAGGTGTTCCGTGTTGCTGCTGGCACTGAGCTGGTGGGTGAAGCTCTCCCTGTGTGGTGCCACCTCTCCTTCTATGCACATCTGGCCAGCTGTGAGGGGCCCAGCTGGGGCAGGCGCTGCTCTGGCCACTTCCATCCCTTCAGTGAACCCCAACGGGGTGAGGAGGCATCAAAGCTGATGGGAGAAATGTGAGCAGCCCCTGCAGCTGCATCCAGCAGAGCCCAGGGAGGAGCCTGGAGTGCTGGGATCTGCTGGGATCTGCTGGGAACAGGACCACAGAGCTTTGTGAGGCTGCAGGGAGCAGCTCCCCCAGCTCCCAAACCGAGGCCATCAGCCTGGCACAGCATGTCTGAAATGCACTCAGCACTGGGAGATGCAGATTGCACTGCAAGGCTGTAAAAGGTTCCTTTTGAACAGCAACTCCAGAGCTTTACCAGGGACAGTTTTCTGGGACACTGGGATGAGCTTGTAAAGGTCGAGCCATAAGCAGCTGTCTGTCCAAATTTTATGACTAATAAACAAAAAAGTGTAGGAAGCAGTCAATAGCCATTACCAACCACAAAAACACATCCTGCAAAAAGAACTCAACAAATCAGTGGTGGCTGTGCTGAGAAACCCATCGGAGAATTCATGGAACTTGGAGAGCAAATCCAGCGGATCTGCTTCAAATTCTGCACTTGCATTAAAAATTCATCAGAGTATTTATATCAAGGAAGGAAGGAAGGAAGGAAGGAAGGAAGGAAGGAAGGAAGGAAGGAAGGAAGGAAGGAAGGAAGGAAGGAAGGAATAGGAAGAAGTTAAAACTCATCCAATGGATATTTTTTCCATTCCCAGCCCTGCCCACTGCACAGCAGTGCTGTCCTTTGACTGCAAGGACTCTCAGACTGAAATTCAGCTTCTCCAGAGGAAAACTGCACAAAATTATTCCAGCCAGAAGAACCCACAGCTCTTCCTTGCCCAAGCAGACCTGCAGCTCAGAAATGCAGCAGAGCAGCTCAATTACCAACAGTTAAAGCACAGCAGGATCTCCAGTTTTCTAATTGAATACACTCAGTTACAAGCAATAAATAAAATAAAGAGAACATCTCGAATGAATAAAAACATACCTTTGAATAAAAAATATTCTCATTAGGAGAAATGATGACTGCTACCAAAAAAATCACCCAGCTACTTCTGTGACAGGCAATTTTTAATCAAAGACAGTTCTATGCAAATTAAGGAAAGCAAATCTCTAAAGGAATAATAGTCTGCCTTAATAGTCCTATCCTTTTTCCTGTATGGCTGCTATGGATGCTGTGTTATAATTGGTGCTATATGCTGCCCTTCCAAGCTTGTGGCATACTTTTCAAAGCAAGAATGTAAATTTATTTTTTTTTAAATAAAAATTACAAAATTTAGATTTTGTGGCAGCCTCTAGAATGACATTAAAAATGTCATTTATATACACATATATAATATTATATATGCATATATAATTATATATCATTTTAATATAAATATAATTAAAATACATATATATAATATATCTGTATTGTAGTATTATATCTAATAATGTATATACTAGATTATATATATTATATATTATCATATTTATATATATATATATATATATATATAAAACAATTCTAATTAATGCTGAGTGTGGAACACTGTTAGGGGATTAAAGCTGCAGGCTCCCACCACTGTACATAAAATTTTCGGGGCTCTGTTGGTCACAAGGATCCACATTCAGAGCCTGTGCAGCTCCTGGACCAGCTCCACCCCACCTTTTACAGCCCCTCACTCAGGCTGAACAGGGCAAGAATTTCTGCCATGGGATACCCCCTGTGAGATCCAGAAAAATCCCGAGGTTTTGTGGGGACTGAGGTGTCCCAGGATGAGCTGAACCCTGAATTTCTGCTGTACCACAGCTCCACACATCCTCTCATGTATAAATGTATAAAATGTCTAAAATTTCCATGTATAAAATCAACATGGGAATTTACTCTCCAGCTGCCACGAGCACTGATGAGTTTCGTACCCACCTGGACATGAAGTGTGGAGTTCCAGGGTGTCTCAGGCAGTTCTTGGTGTGGGAAGGATCAATCTTTATTTCACAGCTCACCAGGCTTCTTGCAGTGATGGTGGCATTTACTGCTGGCTGTGGGACCTGGGGGGAGCAAGGAAAATATTTGCAGTGGGTTGGGTTTTTTTTTCAAGTTCACCTTCAAGTTTTAGAAAATTCCTGGTTTTCCTCATGGAAAGAACTTAAAATTTTAGGGGAAATATTCCACGGTGATCCACAGCTCATAAAAAGATTACCTCGGAAAAGGCCTTGAACATCATCAAGTCCAATCATTAACTTGCTAAGATTGAGATGTTTGGAGCAGGGGATGTACAACCTGCTCAATAAAAATTAATTTTAATAATTAATAATGGCTGAGGAGTTCCAAAAAAGGGGTTTTTTTTTCTGTTCTAAACAAAGTTTTGCCTGATTAATGGAGTTACCTGGGAGGAGACGACAAGCTTTATTTATTTTATTCTTCACCTGCCTCCAAAGTGGTGCCATATCTTATCTATGAAACAGCAATCAGCTGCTCTTCACCATCTTCTTATCAGAACAATGCAAACTGAAAAATATTGAACAGAGACCCAGTGAAACTCTTGAGAAAACCCTCAGTGCACCTCGGGACAGGGAGTTTAAACCTTCCTTGGATTTGTTCTCCAGTTTACTGTAAAGTTTATTTTCAAGTTAGCAGTCTATTTGGAGTTATGATTAATGGTTTTCAAAGGGCTTTTTTTTTTTTCTTCTTCAGCTGCTCCTCGCAACAAAGGATTTAGAATTAATTCACATCATCCAACTTCTTCCTTAATGGATTTTTAAGGTCCACTGCAAAGAATCAATCAATAGGAGGCTGAAAGCTCTGGCGTGTAATGCATCCAGCCCCACCAGGGCAGGGCAATGATCTTCAGCTGCATTTATTGGAATTATTTGCAGTGATTAAGAAAAGCAGAATAATCATTTGCCTTCACTCAATTCAGGACACAAAGAGAGCAACTCAAGAAGAACCAAAAGTTGGATTTTTTGGTGTTTCAAGAGGATTTTGTGAATCTTCCCTCAGGAATGTAAATGCTGCTGCACTGAATGTGTTCCTATCAGAGAATATCTCATTTCCAGGCCACTATTTCCAGGACAAAGTGACACTTGCAGGTTAATTTTGTACCTGGAATGACTGCACAAAATACTCCTGGAACTGGCAAGTAGAACAAGGAAATTCAAGCATTTCTATGTATTTTCTCCACTTTTTTTTCCTGCTATTGATTGTTTTCTTTTATTGATAACAATTAAATAAAATTAACATTTTTTAAACTCCGTTTCACTGGGTTTTTTTTCATAAATAAAATGAAAAATTGAAAAAGCCCAGCCCTGTGTGCACAGAGAAGCTGCCACTGACTGAGCAGGAATGGGGTCAGGGCAGGGATGAAGATTTTTGGGAATGACACCAGAAAGAGTTGGACAAGCTGGAAAATCCTTTTTACAGCACCAATCCTTTGGAAACAGGGCCCTTGTAAACTTTTCAGTTACCAAAAGAAATAACAAGAATTTATCACTTGAATGGCCCCTAAATAACGAGTTCACTATACAGAATAAAACCAGCAATCTGTAAAATTCTAAAAAGTAATCAGGTTCTAAAATAACAACAATTTGGAGAACTCTTGAGATAAAATAAATATTAATTCCTCCTTTCATTTTGATTTCCAAAGGCTGCTTTCCATTGATTCCATTGCTCCAGGCAAACACAACATCAAGTTGCAAAATTACACATTCACATTTGGACCACAAAAATACAAAAGTCTTTTTTTTTTCCCCTCTGATTCTCAGAAGAGACAACAAGAATGCCACAATTTTTAGTGCCAAAACCTTTTATGGGGAAAATTCCTCTTAAAAAATAGCTGTGCCCTGGAAGATACATTGAATTCCTGATCTTGAAAGTCCTAGAGAGGGCAAAGAACAGCTGTGCCATGTCCAAGGAATCAAAAAATAGCATCAGATATTTCATGTGAGCAATATCCAAAATTTATCTCTTGCAGCAACAATAAAATAGGCTGAGATGTGGAAGGGATTGAGCTAAAGGTCTGAGCTGAAAATACAAAGCTTTAGGGGACAGCAGGAAAAAATGGAATTATTGCAAGAATTAGTTCCTTCTGGAAGCAGTCAGCATGTGCAAAGATGAGGTTTTGCTGTGACATCCTGGAGTTTGTTCCTGGTATTGCTCAAGGACTCTCAGGTGAAATTCAATCAATGGACAGGCAAATCTGTTCTCCCTGCTCAGGAACACACAGGTCCTGCTTTGAGCTCTGAAAACCACCAGCATTTCTTTCCTGCTCAGGCAACAGCTTGAGAAAGAGGGTTTTTTGCCAAAGTTGCTGTATCTGCAGAGATTTACACAACAGCCACTGCTCTCCAAATATTTACAGCATCTAAATATTCCTTAATTGGCTCCTTTCCTCTGCTGACCCGCGTGGTTGCTCACTTGGTGCAATTAATTCATTTTCTGTGGAGCACAATTAGGTTTTTTGGGAGGAATGGACCAAAAAAAGGGGCTGTTCCCTGGTTATCTGCATTTGCCCTCTGCCCATCCAGGCTGCACCTCCCTCTCCTTTGTCCATAACACATGAAAACCTGGAGGTCAGGGGCTGCTCAGCAGAATATAGCTGGGTAATCCATCAGGAGCACAATAAACTGTGAGACCCTAAAGATGCTTATCCAGCAGGGCTAATCCTCACTCTGGAGCTCCATTTTCCATCCAGAGCTCCCTCATGGATGCTGCAGCATTGCTCTGAAAGATTTTGTGGTAAATCACAGAACATTGCACAGGGGGGGAAGATGAGACAAATAATCCTGCAATAAAAATGCAGCAGGTTTTGCTACCTGGGCTGTTCCTCTTTCTCTGACACGACTTTCACCCCAATCCAAATGAAAATGAAAATCCACACATGAGCTTTCACTGAAAGGATCACAGAGCATAAAATTCCACTTAAAATAAGGAATGGTCCATTTTCCTGCTGTCTGTACTTATCTCTGGAGCAGATTTTCATTAAAGGACCCCGGGATGGGCTGTCCCACAGGGAGGTGCCCTGGGCACCCTGGAATTCTGTACGTTTTACCCTCCACTCTGGATCCTTTACAGGAGATTAATTGGCTCTGTGTTTATGTAAATAGGGAAGCCAAGATTCCAGTGCATCCTTCTCCATAAATTAAAAACAATGCTTTCCTGCAGTTATGGCTGTAAAGGGGAAATAGACCTTGACTGGATGTAATGAGGCATTTGTGTTTGCAGTAACCAGAATTTACTGTTACTGCTCCAAGAACCATCACTCCTTGTTTAGGCTCTTAAGTGACAATAAGTGTGGCTAAAATAAATTTTAATGAACACTCCTGGGTCACCTTACTGAATTTATGGGGCATAATCCAGCATTATTTGAAATAACTGTGGTCTTTGGGGCTGTGGGGAGCGGTTCCAGGCGCTGATTGCCTCCCTCAGGTCAGATGCAGGTTCAGACACAGCAATTCCTGAGGGACCTGGCTCTGCAAAGGTGACCTGCAGCTGAGCTCTGGCTCTCTGGGAAGGGCACAAAAGGTGATTTGAGTGATGGCAGATGGAGCATGAAGCTGCTGCTTCGTTTGTCTCAGGGATAATGATGGAGCTGAGTGGGGGCTGCTGCTCAGGAGGGGAGGATGCAGGATCCCAACCCCACTGCAGACTCCCCAAGGAGTCTCCTTCACCCTCCCAAGGCTTTTTTTCCAACTTTTCTTATATGTTAGAAGAGTGGAAACTTTGCTTTAAACCACACCTCCCTCTTGGTAGATCTTAAATTCAAGGAGTTCTCTCTAAACACTGAGCAGTGAGGGAGGGGACGGAGGGGCAGGGAAGGGACAGAACCCCCTCAGATCCAACAGCTCAGAGTGAAACCCAAAATTTAAGCTAAATAAATCAAGAAATCCTGTTGACTGCAAGGAGGCAAGCCAATCCCTGCAGGCAAGCCCTGAGTTTTCCCATTCCCTCACAATCCAGGAGGGAAGCAGCTCCCAAAAAAAGGTGAGGACGTTTTCCTTTCCAATTAAAGTATTGCACTTACATAACATTCCTGCTTTCCACTCTATTGTGCCTGGTCTTCACTTCAGGAGCTTATCAGTGTGATCCAGATTTCTTTATCCACCTTTGTATCTCATTCCAAGGGAGCTGGGCAGAATTTCAATACAGGAGCAGAGTGGTTTTGAGAAAAGCCTCCCAGCCCCATTATGTGTCTGAGCAGTGGGTATAAGGTGCAGGCCATTGTCATGCTGCCCTCCTTCATCTTCCTGAAGAGAAAAATAGAAAAAATGCTTGAATTTTTAACCTATTTTTCAGGAAAATAAAAGCCTGACCTCTATACAGTGCCTAAAGCCCAAGCTTGAAATAATGAGTTATTATTTAATTCTTCTGTAGTTAAGGGCTGTGGGATGTTACACAAAGAAATGTGCTCATCACACGAGCCTTCATTATGGAATGTGCTCTTCTATTTATTAAAAATAATATTAACACTGCTGCCTATTTATTTAACGCTTTTCAGAGCCCTTTTTAGGCATTAGCTAATTAATGTAATGATTTGGGATATTTCTAGCGGGTCTCTCCTGGGCAGAGCTCTGTTCAGGGCAAGGAAAAGAGATGTTATTTGTGCTCTGTGCTCTCTGCCAGGCAGGCCCACAGCTCCTCTGGCCTCTTCAGAGGGGTCAGCCTGAGGCCAGGGCTGGGCTTTTGGCAAGTAGAACAAGGAAATTCAACCATTTCCACGTATTTTCTCCACTTTTTTTCTGCTATTGATTGTTTTCTTTTATTGATAACAATTAAAGAAAATAAACTTTTTTTTTCCTAAGGGAAGGCAGTGTTGAACAGCTGGTTCATGTGGGGCAGCTGGATTAAAATTCCCAAACTCAGTGCTCAGCACATGTGACACTGCACAGCCCAGCCAGTGCAATCAATCCTTGGAAAACCAAACCACCTCACCTGTGCTGCTGAAACCAAGGTGACATTTATGAAACTCATCACTTCTTCACTCATTATGCCTTCCTGCAATTCCTCAAACATCAGCCCTGTGATTTATTCACTCAGCAAAACCTCCAGGTCC